GAATACCAGAGGAGGTATGGTGCGGAAAGGAGGTAAAACTCTCACATCTTAAAGTTTTCGGTTGTGTAGCTTACGTGCATATTAGTGATCAAGGCAGGAATAAGCTTGATCCCAAGTCAAAGAAATGCACTTTCATCGGCTATGGTGAAGATGAGTTCGGCTACCGCATTTGGGACAACGAAAACAAGAAGGTGATCAGGAGCAGAGATGTGATATTCAACGAGAAGGTGATGTACAAGGACATGCACAAGACAGATGACTCAGAGAGCGAGTCAATATTTGTAGATGCAGATGATGTCCCGAGTAACCTCTCGGAAGAACCCAATGCAGAGGGTCCTCAGCAAGAAGAGCCTGTTGGACAAGATGGTGCGCAGGAGCCCGACGCACCAGCTCCGATATTAAGAAGATCTTCTCGTCCTCCTGTACCCAACAGGAGATACATGAACTATCTGTTGTTGACAGATGGTGGGGAGCCTGAAAGCTTTGATGAAGCTTGTCAGTGTGGAGATGCGAGCAAGTGGGAGCTTGCAATGAAAGATGAGATGAAGTCTCTCATATCAAACCAGACGTGGGAACTAGCTGAGTTGCCCACGGGTAAGAAGGCACTCCACAACAAATGGGTGTACCGGGTGAAAGAGGAGCAGGATGGTTCCAGGAGATATAAAGCCCGATTGGTTATCAAAGGTTTCCAACAGAAGGAAGGAATTGACTACACCGATATTTTTGCTCCCGTGGTGAAGCTAAATACTATCAGGACCGTGATGAGTATTGTAGCAATTGAATATCTTCATCTCGAGCAGTTAGACGTGAAGACAGCGTTTCTTCACGGAGATCTAGAAGAGGAGATATACATGCACCAGCCAGAAGGTTTCTCAGAAGAAAAGAAGAAGAACCTGGGGTGCAGACTCAAGAAGAGCTTGTATGGCCTGAAACAAGCCCCAATGCAGTGGTACAGAAAGTTTGACGGCTTTATGCATAAGGAAGGTTTCCAGAAGTGCAACGCCGACCACTGTTGCTACTTCAAAAGATATCAGTCCAGCTATATCATCCTACTGCTGTATGTTGATGATATGTTGGTTGCAGGAACAGATATGGAGGATATCAAGAGTTTGAAGCAGCAGCTGTCAAAGGAGTTTGACATGAAGGACTTGGGTCCAGCGAAGAAGATCCTTGGAATGCAAATAACGAGAGAGAAGAAGAGAAGTCTTTTGCAGTTATCTCAGACGGAGTACATCAACCGTGTTTTGCAGAGATTTAACATGGGCAACGCCAAGCCTGTGAGCACACTCTTGGCCAGCCATTTTCGTCTGTCGAAGGATCAGTCTCCTCAATCAGAAGAAGAGAAAGAGAGTATGGCTCAGGTTCCTTACGCCTCAGCTATCGGAAGCTTGATGTACGCAATGGTCTGTACAAGACCAGATATTGGCCATGCAGTGGGAGTGGTCAGCAAGTTTATGTCGAATCCAGGAAAAGCTCATTGGGAAGCGGTCAAGTGGATTCTGAGATATCTACGAGGCACCACACAGAAGTGTTTGCACTTTGTTAAGGGAGAGGTATAAGTGTAAGGGTATGTAGATGCAGACTTCGGCGGTGAAGTCAATCACCGAAGAAGCACCACAGGCTATGTATTCACCGTTGGAACTACAGCTATTAGTTGGATGTCACAGGTACAGAAGATCGTTACCCTATCCACTACAGAAGCTGAGTATGTTGCAGTGACTGAAGCCAGTAAAGAGATGATATGACTTCAGGGTTTGTTGACAGAGCTGGGATTCAAACAGGAGAAGAATGTTTTGCACAGTGATAGTCAGAGTGCGATACACTTGGCGAAGAATTCAGCATTTCATTCTAGAACGAAACATATTGCGCTTCGGTACCACTTCATCAGATCCATGTTGGAAGATGACGTGTTGAAACTGGAAAAGATTCCAGGAAGTAAGAATCCAGCAGACATGTTAACAAAGACGGTGACAGTTCAGAAACTGGAGTTGTGCGCAACTTCAGTTGGCATTCATGCATAGATGATGAGGGCGGAGCCACACAGGAGAGGAGCTTGATGAGATAGCCTGATTGACGTCGGTTTGGTCTCCAAGTGGGAGATTGTTAGGTTGGGGGTGGATACCAACCTCCGGCGACGGAGGAGCTCCGACGAGCTCCAGGATGACGCAGGCGAGCTCCGGTAGTCACAGGCGAAGCCACAGGCGGCGAGGTCCAGGCGATCTTCGGCAGCACAGGCGAGGTCTGCGTTCGCACAGCTCTGCGTTCGAGTCTCCCCCGAACTCTGCGTTCGCCTTCCCCGAGCTCTGCTTTCGCCTTCCCCGAGCTCTGCGTTCTTTTTGGCGAACCCGACCTTTGCGTCAGGGTTATTCGCTGGCGATAGGCTGTCGCCAGCCCTCTCATCTCCGCCTATATAACCCCCCATCGCCTAGGGTTTTGTTGCTGCGATTTTTCTTCCTTCCTCTGATTTTTTCTCTCTGGCGGCTGCCCTAAAATCGCTGCTGCGATTTTGTTTTTAATCCCCAGCTCCAACTGTGATTGAAGGGGGATTTAAGAAGAGAGAGAAAATTAAAGAGGGTTTTAAATTGTGGGGTTATTCTTTATTCTCAAGTGAGACTTGAAAAGGGTTCATACCCTTTAATTATTAACACTGTAGCTACAGTGTTTATTTGAGAAATCTCAGTTTTGGGATTTGCTCTTGATTTGTAATTTCTTGTTTGATTAATAAGAAATTATCTGTGTGGCTCCCGAGGACGTAGGCAGTTACCGAACCTCGTTAAAACTTGGTGTACTTTTTCTATTCTGCGTTTCTGTTGCATTAGGGATTTAGGCGTTAAATTTCCAACAACTGGTATCAGAGCGTGAAACGATCTAGAGAAAGTCAGATTCAAGTGAGAGCCATGGCCGCAGATGAGGCAAAAATGAGACTTGAGAAATTTGATAGAACAGATTTCGGATTCTGGAAAATGCAGATAGATGATTATCTGTATCAGAAAAATCTGTATCAACCACTATCGGGGAAGAAGCCAGATTCTATGAAGGAAGAAGAGTGGAACCTTCTAGATAGACAAGCCCTCGGAGTTATCAGATTGACGCTGACTCGCAATGTTGCGTTCAACATAGCAAAGGAGAAGACCACGGCAGGTCTTATGGCAGCTCTCTCAAATATGTATGAGAAGCCATCAGCCGCGAACAAAGTTCATTTGATGCGGCGATTATTCAATCTGAAAATGGCGAAGGCGCGTCAGTAGCACAACACCTCAATGAACTTAATACGGTTACAACCCAATTGAGTTCAGTTGAGATTGAGTTTGATGAGGAAGTTCGGGCGTTGATACTTTTGTCTTCCCTACCAGAGAGTTGGAACGCTACAGTCACAGCTGTGAGTAGCTCGTCGGGAAACAAAAAGTTAAAGTTCGATGACGTTCGTGATTTGGTTCTCAGTGAGGAGATCCGACGGAGAGAAACGGGTGAAGCTACAACCTCTTCAGTATTGCATACAGAGTCAAGAGGTAGAAATTCAACCAGAGGAAACGGACGAGGAAAATCAAACTTCAGAGGTAGATCAAAGGACAGGAGGTCCAAATCAAGGAATCCAAGCAACAGCTCGAAGGCTATCGAGTGTTGGAATTGTGGAAAGACCGGGCATTACAAGAATCAGTGCAAGAGTGCACAGAAAGAGAAGGAGGCAAAGGCAGAGGTGAATGTCACATCCACTTCAGGAGGAGACGACGCATTGATATGCTCTTTGGAGAGCAAGGAGGAATCTTGGGTGTTAGATTCAGGAGCGTCGTTCCATGCTACCTCTCAGAAAGAATTCTTCAAGAAGTATACCCCCGGAAATCTTGGATACGTATATCTTGGTGATGATCAACCATGTGCTATTGTGGGCAAAGGCGTAGTGAAAATTAAGTTGAACGGGTCAGTATGGGAGCTGAAGGATGTCAGGCATATTCCCGACCTGAGAAAGAATTTAATATCCGTAGGCCAGTTGGCTGGCGAAGGATACACCACAACCTTCCATGGAGATGATTGGAAGATCTCAAAGGGCGCAATGACAATTACCCGAGGTAAGAAGACTGCTGATTGACGTCGGTTTGGTCTCCAAGTGGGAGATTGTTAGGTTGGGGGTGGATACCAACCTCCGGCGACGGAGGAGCTCCGACGAGCTCCAGGATGGCGCAGGCGAGCTCCGGTAGTCACAGGCGAAGCCACAGGCGGCGAGGTCCAGGCGATCTTCGGCAGCACAGGCGAGCTCTGCGTTCGCACAGCTCTGCGTTCGAGCCTCCCCCGAACTCTGCGTTCGCCTTCCTCGAGCTCTGCGTTCGCCTTCCCCGAGCTCTGCGTTCTTTTTTGGCAAACCCGACCTTTGCGTCAGGGTTATTCGCTGGCGACAGGCTGTCGCCAGCCCTCTCATCTCCGCCTATATAACCCCCCATCGCCTAGGGTTTTTCCTTCCTCCGATTTTTTCTCTCTGGCGGCTGCCCTAAAATCGCTGCTGCGGTTTTGTTTTTAATCCCCAGCTCCAACAGTGATTGAAGGGGGATTTAAGAAGAGAGAGAAAATTAAAGAGGGTTTTAAATTGTGGGGTTATTCTTTATTCTCAAGTGAGACTTGAAAAGGGTTCATACCCTTTAATTATTAACACTGTAGCTACAGTGTTTATTCGAGAAATCTCAGTTTTGGGATTTGCTCTTGATTTGTAATTTCTTGTTTAATTAATAAGAAATTATCTGTGTGGCTCCCGAGGACGTAGGCAGTTGTCGAACCTCGTTAAAACTTGGTGTACTTTTTCTATTCTGTGTTTCTGTTGCATTAGGGGTTTAGGCGTTAAATTCCCAACAATTTTTATGTTTAAAGTGTGCGTCTCCAAGAATCCTAGGACCAAAAAAGTCCCTCTGCGCACGAGTGAGCTCATCTTCCCCCATACAAGTGAGCTCAGCACGGCAAATACAAAGACAGTGAAATAAACCAACGGAAGCTAAGCATCCACATTTGTATGCTGAGGACCACAAATAAGCTGGCACCTAACTAGACTGAAAGTTGTGCATTATCACTGCAAGAATCTGCTTTTCTTAGTTCTCCAGCTACCGGTTGAAGTCTTCGGAGTTATTCTTGTGCTTTTTCAGCACTTTAAAGTTCTGGTGTATATCTTTTCCCGCAATGTCATTGGCTTCAAGAAGCCTGGCAAAGGTAGCGCACATACTCTCTGATAGTGGCATCAGATCAGATACTTGTGCTCTTTTTCTTTTTCTCCTTTTATTTTTTCTTCCTTTAGAGATTAAATCCTATGTCATCTCAGATCCTTATCTGCTTCTTGATTCCACTACAGGTACTAAACCTTTATCATCAATCTTCAGCATCTTGCCTGCGACCTCTTCCAACAATTCAAGAGTCAGGACTTGGGAGAAAATGAGAGCGGGTAGTGACTTGTTCTCCTATGTTGCCTATAGATGATTTTTTTTTTTGGCCCTATTTGACCATCACTTCATCATGGCTCTAATTGTATCAGTGTAGATATCTACAATACTTGTCGCAACGCCTAATATAAGACCTTAGATCGTATAGAATATAAAACCCTTAACCCTTATCATAACTTCGGAGGTTTGGTGCAATGACATGTCTTTTGACAAGGCATCAGAGCAACCAAACTTCAAATCCTACTAGCCGCAAAAAAGGGCGCTCATAATATATAAACCTCGACCATCATTATGGTGCAGAATGCTCTCGTGCAGCGGGAGGGACCATTGACATATACGAGTATAAAACTAGTTTCTGATTTAATGCAATACATGTTTAATGTATATCGGCTCATAAATTCACATAAATGGTTGCATGCATCGCAATTTATACATGAGCGCATAGTAGGAGTTCCCTGTAATTTTCGAAATTATGCCTACAAACAATTGATTCTTCAAAACATTGTATCAGCCTTGGCTAGTCGGCATGCTTATTAAATAAAACATGGTTGAAATTCGGCAACAAGCACCACTTCACAAAGAACAAGGCCAAGTAATACCAAATTAACTTATATATCTAAACTATCATGACAATTCTTGACTAACCAACATACTTATAGTACCTAATGACTGTATAAAGGGCCTGCGCGCAGTTACCCATACATAACCCCCTTGCCCCTAGTTCTTTATTTATATGAATCGTATAAACACATATTAGTTCCAGAAGGAAGCATATGCTGATAATTACAGGTACATCCTTCGTCCGCCTGATCCAGACTCTCTCTGGCAATTGTAATACACAGCAGCCACTGGAGAACCGAGATTGTAGAGCTCTGCAAAGTCTCTGGTGTTGAAGTTCTGACGCCAGCCTGGTGCATAGACAATCTGCCTTCCCAGCTGCTGAAACAGCACAAATACGATGCGATGGATGCCAAGAGATGGCCGTGGGTTCTCGTAGCACACCACCTCTTGCCCTGCACTCAGAGGTAGCCCAAAATAGATATATATTCAGTACTAGTTAATTGCAGAAATCTTTGGCAGTTATCAATCTTAGAGTTTTGAAGCCTCACCATATTTCGCTTCTGTGGTTCCTGGGATATCAGTCACCAGCCTAAGATCAATATAATTAGTCAGTAACTTAACATATAGTTTTATCTTAAGTAGGTTACTTATGATGAAGGGGTTGATTGCACACAGACTCTCTGTATTCTCGTCTTTTCGGACTTACTAACCCTATAATTTCATTGTTGCAGATAGACCGCCCGGTTTAAGTTCTTTTGTTCTTGTAACAGCCTATCCGCAACAATGAAACTACGTCGATACTGCGTGCAAAACAGCGACAGTACGTGGGGTCAATGTGCAGTTATCCCTAGGATGAACAAGGATAAAAGACTGCAGGTCTAATGTGTGCAATTATCCCTAGGGTGAACAAGCATAAAAGACTATACTATTTTTTGGACTCTAAAGAAATAAGAGGTGGAGAAAAATATAATGGCCTACCAGTGAAGGTATTCCCTTAAGGTAGGGTCACTTGGACTAGGAGCATCTGGGTCTACCATCACCTGCAAACATATATGTACACATATATAAACATCTCATGCTTGTGCACGCAACTCATGGTAATGACACTTGTTTTTCGATCGCAACTCGCAAGCTTTGTATTTTATTTTGTTTTTTGTTTTTGTTTTTTTTTTTAATTTTTTGGGTTCGGCCTTACAAGTGTGTAAAAGGTTCTCAGATCATTCCCTCCGACTTCTACCGTAGGCTGGATGCACACTTGCGAAGGCTTAAACGCTTTCCCATTGCTAACATCTTTGGACCCATACGTCACCTTAAGGGTGGTAGTAGTCCTTGTGAAGGGGTCCAAAACATCTCCAACAACCCTGCCCACAACCAAAGGATCCCTGCTCATTTTTGCTAAACACCTGACTAGATCGGAGAGGGGGTTTAAGGGGACAAAGGAGAGGCGTAAGAGGTTTGACGACTGGTTGGCTATTTTGGATGGAAAATGTTACGACTGAATCCCTATTTATATCCCTCGGGGTTCATGCACTTGCCTTGTTGTTTGGCCATGTGCTTAGCTTTAGCTAGAATCTATTTTCCTTTCTGGTTTCTGGTCACAAAGTTTTGAAGGTCTCTTTTATCTTTTGTAGCCCCAAACGAGGAAAGGGAAGGCATCACCCTTCCTCCTTTGTGTTTGTGTGCAAGACCAAGAACTGGCTCAGACCAATGCCAGAAATGGTGGAGTCACGTCCTGTTGAGACAAATTTGGATAGGTTCCTCATCAGCTTGCACAGTTTTAGGTTCGAGATCACTGAGGAAACCCGATGTTACAGTGGCTTTGTTTGTCTGGTTGGTTCGCCACTAGCGCGCATCGCCCTGGCCTTGCTGAACCACAGGATTGAGTAGGATAGCAACCCCCAATAATTTCATGGAGCTAGAGAGGAGTTGGTGTTGGAATTATTGGTCACGTATCACACTTTATGGTCGGAAAGAATGGAAGAAGACATGCCCGTCTTCAAACCGAAACAAGGTTGCTTGAAGGGAAAGCATTGCCACTTTAAGGAAGGAAACTGTGGGAGCTATCTCGAAAGAATCCTTTCCTTCAACGGCCAGAGAAGAAAGCAGAGAACGAAAGGGGTTGGAAACATTCACGTGTTAGGATGACAAGTTCCCACTTGAGTTTTTATTTGAAGAATGTGATGGAGAAGGAAGTTAGAATAAGAGATAAGAAAGTAGAGGAGCTGAGAGAGATACTGTGAAACAATACCGTTGGCATACCGAGCGGGATTTTTCCTGGAAATGATGTTGCTTTCCAAAAGATCAAGGTCTGATGTGAACTTAAGAAGGGAACAGATAAGGAAGTGGATTTCAATATCAGTTTCTTTCCAAGGAATGCAAATTTACAGTAACAGAGTACTTGATAGAAAGACATCGTTAACACTGAAAATAAATCCTCAGACAGGCTACTGGACATCAGTTAGAAATAGAAAACTAGGCGATAATATGTGAGAAAGACAACTTGAACAAAATTACAAACGCAGACATTTCCTTCCAAGGAACTAAAGCATGCCTTCATCATTTCTCGAAACACAAAATAAGATTGCTCAAACTTTACAATTACATGCCCATAAAAAGACAGAATACTTGCTGTCTGTCTAACCAAAAACACTGCTAATCCTGATCACATGTGTATACAAACGTCGCTTGTTAAACCCCTGAAAGCTAATAAATACTCTCTTACCGCTAACTGTACATATGCAACCACAAAGACAAAACTTGCACTCATACTCGTATCTCAAAAAGCTTATAGAAACTAGTAGACTTATTTCAGTTAGACGTGCAAGCCATTGCCATTAGCGAGTATGTTTCCACTTCCGTTCTGGCAAATCTTTGACGCTGACGTGCCATTGCCCAAAACATCTCTTGGAGTTGGCTTGTTCAGATAGCTAGGAGTTTGCAGCCACATATCTAATTGACCACACGAAGCAGCTATGAGCCCTGTCGTTATTTTACAATGAAGATCTCATTAAACCAAGAACAGATATTATCAACTTTATAGAAAGTATATACGCATTAGATAAATTTGAACATGTCCAGATACAATGGAGAGCATTGAACATCAATGCAAGCAGCATGCAGCTCATTCTATTTGCATGTGCAAGGTAGCCTGACTCTTTTGACCTTAGTATGTCACATCAACCATCTAGAGCAACAAATCCAAAGGCCCTTTCAGATTGATGATTTTGATGGAGCTCACAACAGCAATAATGGGATTCAGGCATCTTCATGTGTGCAGATAATTGTGTACAAAAAATGTGATATGAGCGCAGAATATTCTAGCAAGGTGGAATCTTTACAATGCCATATGTTAGGAGTCACATAACTTGAGGATACTACCATCTTCTATACAATACCTTCTTCACAAAGATGGAATACGGCCCAGCATTACTAGATGTCTGTTAATGAAACGAGGTACACTGCTTTAAGAGGGACATTATCAAGAGGGAAAGCTTAATCGCATTGATTTTTGCGCTTCAGTTCTATAATATGCATATATTGATATTAATATATTATCTAAACATATGTTGGCACTGGTATGTAAGGGACATATTGAAAATCTATCTCATTATGCTAACTAATCAAAGTTCACATTACATATTAAAAAGTTGAGATCAAAGTATGTCTCAAGAGCCTCATTAGTCTATTACAAAAAGGTTAAATACTGATCTTGTATGAAAAGCTTATTGTCTAATTATATCAAGAACGCATTGAACTTCTTCTTTCATTTTTCATGTCATTGATTTCTATGATCTAATATGGGAATGCACCATGGATAGGTATGCATGAACTGAAATAGATGTGAAAAACAACAGTAAAAAATTATTGGAAGTTTGAATTAAAAAACGTGGTCTTGAGCTTTCTAGAAATCCTTAAACCGGCAATGTTATATGAAGTGCTTCAACAAATTGAGGGGACAGTAAACTGATTGCAGATGCCTAAATGTACCAATTGAATAAAAGAGTTTGAGAAAATCAAATAGAAAATTCTATAAACTGATCCTGAATTCTATAATATACAAAGTCTTCATCATGGATTGTGATACCTCACCTAAGGTAGATAAAACATGTGTGATACCTCACCAAGGTAGATAACACATGTGGCGATGAGTCAATTATCATTTTGAATTCATGGCATCTTCCCAAGGGACTACATGGTTTATGGGGAGTCCACTCAAAACAAAAGCTTAAATAAAGAATCATCTTATTTAATGTCTACGAAAGGATCCAAGTTCTTTTAGGAGGACAATATGGAGAGAGAATAACAAAGACATTGAATGAGTTTCTTGCACACAGGAAGGTTAACAAATAGGTTTGTCTTGACATACCTTACGTATTGGCTGAAAATCCATCTATATCCTAAAGCATAAAGTCTCAAGATTATAACTAGAAAGAGTGATATTCCTAAGCTAAAATCACCAACAAACTGCACTGAAACAGTCTGGTCACATAAGATATTCACTCCGATCTACATCTCAAATGAGTTGTAGAACAGATTTACATCAAATTTTACATTCTATATTTCGTATTCCATCCAAGATGCTCAAAGAGATAACAAAGCCTCAATTCCTGTGGAAAAGGGTCCTAATCTTGCTTACTTAAGCTTATTAAACGAATGCTCATGATAGCTTAGTATCAGTCTGTTGTCAAGCGTTGTGGTACAAATGAAGCATTGAATGATATATCGAGAATGATACATACTGCTATAGGCATTTCCTTCACTGAGAAAACTACCTCGGGAGGTTCAATAGGAAACTCAAGGGCCTGGGGTCTGAGCCCGGAAGCAATGGTGCACGGCAGCAGATTTGCGCTGGCTATTACGAACCCAGGTGCATGGAGAATAAATATCACAGGCCTCTGATCATCCGAGACAGCTGTTGTTGCACATGACCAACAGAAGGGGCTCCAGAGTGGGCAACTCCAGTTCCACTCAAAGGATCATGAGGGAACTTCTTCGTGCAGAAGTAATTATTGTTTAATACTAACCCAACCACTTTTTTGGCATCACATATCAATAACCTGACAGCCTTATTTGTCACAGCTAATGGTCGAGGACCACACAGATCAATGACCTAAAAACAATCAAGACTCTGTCAGCACTTGAGATTGCTACAACTTTGAACACCATGAATGGATGCTCTTATTGTACATCCTGGGCTAAATGTTAGTTCGCCAGTATGCAATTGTGACATCCATAGCGTTTAATGTCATTCACAAGTACAGGATGGGCAACAAGAGCATGAATGCATGCATGGAGTTCAAAGCTGTGGCGGTGTTCAAGTGATGCTAGGTTCTTGTCCATTGTTAGATTGTTGATCTATGTGGTCATAGACCATTCAAATTAACGAAGAGGTTGTAAGGATTGTGATCTACAATGGCAAAGACGCACAGGTTTGGCGTTTAAGAACAGATGTTGCTGCAGTGCTACCTCATCATCCTTAGAGTGGGACAGAAGTCACTTTCTTGCCAAATCTGTGCCGTCATTTCCCGTTAAGGCTGGTAATTTTAATCACCCGAACCGTGCTATAGTTTCCAGGCTTGAGGCCTAGAGTTTACTCTCCCTCTCCATGGAGTGGCATATTAGAATCATGTCCTTGAAGCCCAGCTTATAGTCAAGAAAGTAGGATTATGAAAAGTGGATACATGTAGAAGCCATATTAGTCACAGTGAAGCCCAACCTTTTCTAATATATGTGAAATGGTGAATAACAACCCAGTTGGACGTCTTGGATTTATATGAACCAGTAAATTGTATATACTTATGTGCTAATCAGTCCAAATAAAAATTTTACTGTGTTCTGATTAAGGCTCCTGATTTCAATATGATAAATGGAACTGAGATTTTCGGGTAATTATCAAGTATAGTGTTGCATCTCAAAACTTGGATCTTCCAGTCATCTGGTATAAACATTCTTTCTATCCAAATGTTCCATCTCCATATGTTGCTAAAACCCCTCTTTGTCCCTCTTCTCTCTGCTTCCTTCTTCCTTGTCTTAGAAGCTTTTCTCTTTCTCAACATAACTTTTTTTATTTCCTATAAATATGTCTGCGTAACATTCTTACGTAAATAGGATTCAAGTTTGACCACCTAGGGCCTACAACATCTTTAGAAACTCTCCGGCATAATGCTAAACCACATTACTTTGCTGTCTTTTTCTTTTTCTGTTTTCCCCCCTTCTCTACTTCTGTAATCTTATGTTTTTTGTTTGTCTCATTTAGTATGTTCGATGGGTATCCATCAACAACTTGGTACACTTCTAGTTTTCTGCCAAATAAGAGACTAATCACAGATAACATGGGCCTTAGTTTAATCGTAATGTAAGCTAAATATTATTAGTAGCCAAGAAAAGGTAGGTGTACTACACCGCATTTACTTGGCTAAGATTCTGAGACCGACTCAGAAGACTGTATGCCTCTTTGATGGCTAATTGTGATATTGGTTAATTCTTTTGTGAGCTTTCTCACCTTCAGACTCTTGCTTCATGGCTGGCTGGGATGATGATTATGATGAAGATGAAAATAATGGAATGAATAGTAAGTGATTGGCATGCATTTCATGCACTGTTACAGGTAAGGCCAAGGAGAAAAAGAGTTGTATTTGAATAAAAAATTTCTTCCAAATTAGAGTGAATTAAGAGCAACTAGAGCATTAGAAAATAGTAGCCATGACTCTGTCCTAATGTCACCTAAGAAAAGTGCAGAAGGTTTTCCGGGTCGTGACTTGAATTCTGGATGAAACTGAACTCCTACATAATATGGATGCGTAGGCAGTTCAATTACCTGCAATATCAAAATTTTATGCATCAATATCAATCAAATATCAAAATTTTATGCATCAATATCAATCAAAGCATGAAAACCAATATTGTATTACAAAAAAATCACACCTCCATTCGCTTCCCACTTTCATCTTTACCAACAAATGCAAGGCCAGCATCTTCAAAGTCGGAGATCAAGTCAGGATTAACCTGCAAAATTAGTAACATTAAGGTCTAGCATTTTAAACCGACTAAAGTTTCCCAAATGGTGAGTAAATTTTTGCCTAATGTAGCATAGCGAACCCTGTAAAATGGATAAAATATTGGTAATGATCCAATTTCTTTACCAGGTTCTGAAGAGTTCAGATCTGCTAATCATTAGATGTGTTGAAACTTCAAATTTGGGATTACGTGCATGCTTTATTGCCTGCTATACCCATGGTCATCTATGGTACATATCAACTGAGATTCACTGTCAGACACTACAATGATCTATGCCAACACTACTTCTAAACAAATGTTTTGACTTTTTGGATGCTAGTTTTGTTGATTGTAAGGTCTCCCTCTTTCGTGCATCAAGTTGCTATAGTAAGACTTGCATCAAATCCAACGCACACAATCCCACAATAAATGCTTACTAGTCAAAGAGGGGAAGTTGAAGTTGCATTTAGTAAATCGTAGAATCCAAGGAAAGATTTGAAAGTATATATATTTATAAACTTCAAAATTTTCAAGCACATAAACATTGTAGTCATGACAATCCAACATGAAACCTTCATTATGGAAGGCCTAGGTTTGATTAAGCATAGAATCTCCACCTAGATCAAGCATAGAAATCTCCATAAGAACAAAACACTAAGATGAATAACCCAGTAATGGTTGCTAGGTAGACTTATGCGGTCAAGCATAAATTGAGCACTTCATGGGAGCATCAAACAGTAAGGTAACTAATCTCAAATATGTGACGATCTTTTAATTTTATTAAATTAAAATGAATTTTTTGTTAAGTGTTGGTTGGGGATCTTTATTCCATATATCCAGTGTACTTCCTTTTTATTATTTTCATCTTAGATATTGGTAAATTTTTTTAGGGTTATTTTAAGAATCATAATCTAGTTCTTAGCACTTCTAAGAAAAACAAACATACACACAAGTATATAGATGTAAACATATTATACACACAAAGGCAAATATACACGCAAACATATAGATGCAAACATATTATACACACACATACACACTCAAAAATACATACTAACATACTTACAAATCACACGAAAGCATGTATATAAATGGATAAATATTTAACTTAGATAGGTATGTTGGTTGTACAGCCCAATATGGGACATCAAGAGCCATTTATTTTTCTGAAAGTTAAATTGTAAAGCTTGGTCTTTGAGTTTGAGCTAAGATTCCCACCACAGAAGAGGTCCCACAATGTAGAACAGTAGTACCCAGAGTAACAAATTTCATCATATGTGAATCATGTGATTGCAACTAACCAACTGAAGTAGAATAATTTGCAACGGAACATACCTCATATCTATGTCGATGTCTTTCATCCACATAACTGACATTGCCATATCTAATAAAACTCAAAGCACATCAGACTTTTCTGACAGAAGGTTAAAAATTATTAACCATTTAATAAAGTTTCAAGGATTATGACCCTCACAACTTAGCAGATTTGCAATCAGCAACCTGAAAATAAGTCCTCCTTGATCCAAGTCGCATTGTTCCCCCCATATGAGTCTTTGAACCCTGTAAAGGACAATCAACAGTCATGCAAAGAAAAACAATAGAATCAAGTCAGTCAAGAAAAAAATGGCACTAAAATAAAATGGAGAGAAATCCTTTTCAACCTCTGGCATAAAAATAACACAAGGGTTAGAGGTGTCTGGGTCAAACTCTGTGCTATTTGCATCCTCCAGCTTAAGAACAGAACGGGCAAACTCAATCACAGCAATCTGCATGCCCAGGCAAATGCCAAGGTATGGAATACTATTTTCTCGAGCATATTTAGCAGCAAGAATTTTTCCTTGTACCCCTCTGTCCCCAAACCCTCCTGGAACTAAGATACCATCTGCACCCTGAAAATAAAAATCGCCATAAAAAAACTCGAAGAGGAAATGATAATGAGTACAAAATACAGAAGAGACATGCTTACCTTCAGCAAATTCCATGCTGCTTCATAGATATTAGGTTCCTGCACAAGGAACAAGATGCACGTTAACTAGAGACAAAGAAAATGAAACAGAAGAAAAAGGTTAGAGTTTTCTCAATAATTAAACCTCTTTTGCTGTAGTATCTTCAAGATCGGTAGCAGGAACCCAGTCCACTACAAGTTTCTGACAACAAGCTATAGAAGCATGCAAAAGAGCCTGCAAAGAGGTTGATTTTGTGAATTGGTATCTTAATAAATATTCAACTCAACTGCCCCAAAATATGCTATGTGACATTCTTCTTAAAGTGTCTTACTATCTTTGACCATTACACCAAAACTCTAAAGTTGTGGTGAGGGTTGAGCGTTATATTTTTATATTCTAACATGCCCCCACAAGTAGAGCACACTTTTTTTAGGGGCCGAAACATGCATTCTTGCATCAGTGTTAATTTTTTTAAAATCCGTTTTAAATTCGTAGTTGGTGAGATTTAAACGTGGGTTGCTTTGATACCATCTTAAAGACCCTCTAGTACATATCACACAACAACTAGATCATCTCTCAATAGCATGTCACAGAAAAATAATGAGTTCATAATTAAAGCAAATTAGATAAGGTGTTATGAGGTCTCGTACATGTTAGATTAAGTCTATTGAGTATTGGATTAATGGGCTGTGACCCGTTAACCATACCCCTATTTGTATGACTATATATATCTCTCTAGTATCTGAATAAATCAATTAAGTTAGGGTTTTTACTCTCTCAATTATCTCTTTCTACATGGTATCAGAGCTTGAAACCCTAGCCGTCACAAATCCTCATTCAAAAACCCTAGCCGCCTTGAATAGGTGATTCGAGGCCACACATGACCCGATCCGGTCATCTACTACTGTCTATTTTTTGATCTACTCTTAGTCTATATTTAAAGAACAGATCTCTACTACTGCCCTGATTATTTAACTACTACCTGCCTACCAATATTATGCAACAATATCGGAAACAGATCTCTCCTCTTCTACATCTCCCTCTGTTGCTGCTGGTCAGACTTCTGTGCCCAATGTAGTCTTGGGGACTACAATAAAATTGAATGGTACAAACTATCTGCTCTGGGCTCAGGCTTTCCGCATCTTCATTGGCGCTCAGAGCAAACTTTCACATCTTTTGGCCTCTCCTCCACCCACCACAAATCTCACCTATAGTTTCTGGCTCTCGTCTGATTATTGTGTTATGACGTGGCTCCTCAACAGCACGGAACCACAGATTAGTAGCAGTGTTATGTTCTTAACCACTGCGAAGGAGATGTGGGACATCCTGAAGATTATGTACGGAAATGAGAAGAATGCTTCCCGTGTATTTGAGATTTATGAGCGACTGTTTACGCTCAAACAGGGAGATAGATCAGTTCCGGAGTTCTTTGGTGAGTTAAAGGGACTGGTAGACGAACTGGAGATGCATCAGCCTGCAGTAGCTGATGTGGCGACGCTGTTAGGATATCGCCGTGACTTGGCAGTGTCCAAGTTTCTTTCTGGATTGCACCCTAACTTGCAGTCTCAGGTGAGAGGACAGATATTGGGTGGAGATACCATCCCCTCACTGACTGTTACATTCTCCAGAGTTATGCAGGTCTCTACTGATGTTTCTTCTGATACTTCTGCACCATCTCCACCTTCAGTGGATCAGTCTGCCATGTTCTCTAGTAGAGGCAGAGGTCGCGGTCGTGGTCGTGATCGTGGTCGTGATTCTTTGGGAGGACGTGGCTCTTTTAGTGGGAGACAGGGTGATTCTGATAGGGGTTCACGTTAATGTGGTCACTGTGGGAGGACCAATCATATTTCTGAGAAGTGCTGGGAGAAGTTTGATCGTCCCCAATAGGCCCAAGTAGCCGATGCTAGTAATCCAGCTATTACTGTTCCTACTGTTCAGATTTCTCAGGCAGATTATGAGAGATTACGCCAGCTAGAGCTCTCTCAGAACAGTCATTCGGCTACTCATGCATCCTCTTCAGGTATGGATGCTTACATAGCTTCTCCTCATGAACCATGGGTACTAGATTCTGGAGCCTCATCCCATATGACAGGTATAAAGGATCGTGTTGTCTCTTTACATCTTTCTGATAAGTTTTTCTCTATTCGCATCGCTGATGGTACACTTTCTCTGGTTCTTGATGCTGGAGTAGTTCATGCTACTTCCTCTTTGAAACTCACTGATGTGTTATATGCTCCTAAATTCCCTGTTAGCTTATTATCCATTAGCAAGTTTATAAAGCACAATAACTGTAAAGTCACTTTCTTTCCTTCTTATTGTGTTTTTCAGGACCTAGCAACTGGGATGACGATTGGTTCGGGGCATGAGAGAGGAGGTATGTACTATTTGGACGACAGTGTGCCGGGTGATGGTTTTGTTGCAGCACAGCCTGATTCTACCTTACTGTCGCACTGGCGTCTGGGTCATCCTTCACTATAGAAACTTAGATCGGTAGTTACTGTTCAGTCTTCCCTTTCTTCTTTAGGTTGTGAGTCATGTGAACTGGGTAAGCACCATCGTGCTTCTTTTCAGAGTCGTGTCGATAAGCGCAGTAGTTTTGTGTTTGAGTTAGTTCATTCTGATGTCTGGGGTCCTTGTCGTGTTCCCTCTGTGAAGGGTTTTTGATATTTCATTGTTTTTGTTGATGATTTCTCTCGCATGACTTGGCTATATTTGTTGAAAGAGAGGTCTGAAGTCCCGCATGTTATTGAACTTTTTTATAATGAAATAAAAACCCAGTTCTTTAATTCTGTTTATATTCTTCGTACTGATAATGCTTTGAAATATATAAAAAATGACGTTTCAAAATTTTATGCTCTTAATGGTATTATTCATCAAACTTCATGCTCTCACACTTCACAACAAAATGGAGTTGCTGAGAGGAAGCATAGACATATTCTCGATGTTGTTAGAACACTGATGATACATATGAATATTCCAAAGTACTTGTGGTCGGATGCTGTCCTCACTGCCTGTTATTTGATTAATCGCATGCCTTCCTCTGTTCTTGATGGTTTGATACCATTCCACTGTCTTTATCTTGCTAAAAAAACGTTTTTCTGTGATTCCTCGAGTTTTTGGTTGTACGTGTTTTGTTCAGGATTTGACTGTTGGTTTGGATAAATTGTCTCTTAGGTCCATTAAGTGTGTTTGTTGGATATTTACGTACTCAAAAAGGGTATAGGTGCTATCATCCGACCACCAGGAGATATTTTGTTTCTGCTGATGTTACCTTTTTTGAGTCTGTCCCATATTTTTCCTCTGGTTCCACTACCTCTGTCAATCCACAGGTGCCACTATCTTCTACGGCTCCCACTACTATTCCGGTATCTACTCATGTGGCTACTGCACCAAAGCCTCTACTGACATACTCTCGCCGTCCTAAAGTACATACACCTGTCTCTGCTCCTGCTGACTCTTCTTCTCCAGCTGTAGGTCCATCTCATATCGAGCCTCATATCTCTTCTGACTTAGATGTTCCTATTGCTCTTCGTAAAGGTAAACGATCTTGTCCAAAATATCCTATCTCTTTTTTTATCTCTTATGACCGTCTCACCTCATCATTTCGTCAGTTTGTTTTGTCATTGTCCACTATACCTTTACTCAGGTCACATGAGGAAGCTTTGTTAGTACCCGCCTGGAAACAGGCTATGGATGAGGAGATGAATGCACTATTTTCTAGAGGGACTTGGGATTTGGTCTCTCTACCTGCTGGAGCGACTGTGGTTGACTGCAGATGGATGTATACCTTGAAATATCATCCTGATGGGTCTGTTGATAGATATAAAGCTCGTCTGGTTGCTAAAGGATATACCCAGACATATGGTATTGACTATTTTGAAACATTTTCTCTCGTTGCTCGTCTTAACTCCATCAGAATTCTTTTCTCTCTGGCTATTAATATGGATTGGGTGATGCACCAACTAGATGTGAAGAATGCTTTCATTTATGGTGATTTGGACGAGGAGGTTTATATGGAGCAACCTCCTGGGTATGTTGTTCAGGGGGAGAATCTTATCTGCAGACTGAGAAAGGCCATCTATGGGTTAAAGCAGAGTCCTCGAGCTTGGTTTGATAAGTTCAGCAAGGTTATTTCTAATGTTGGTTTTCAATGTTGTCAGTCTGATCACTCTGTCTTTCTTCGACGCACAACAACTGGTTTGATTATTTTAGCCGTATATGTTGATATTCTGCTGACTGGGAGTGACTCTGTTGTCTTAGCTGAGACTAAGGAGTATCTAAACCGTCATTTTGTCACTAAGGACATGGGAAAGTCAAAGTATTTTCTTAGGATTGAAGTTGCATATAAAAAACATGGCCTGTTGTTGTCCCAAAGGAAGTATGTGCTAGATTTACTAGAAGAAGCAGGTCTCTTGGAATGCAAACCTGCAAGCACTCCAATGGAGGTAAATGTTGATTTGTGGCGTGATGATACCTCTCTACTAGATGATGCTGCACGATATAGGAGACTAATTGAGAAGCTAATATATTTGACAGTTATCAGACCTGATATTACTTTTACAGTAGGTGTACTGAGCAGGTTTATGCACAAACCTAGAGAGGTTCATTGGACAGCAGCTCTGAAGATTTTGGCATATGTCAAAAGTTGTCCTGACAAGGGATTGTTATATAAGAAGCATGGGCATACTCACATTTCGGCTTTCTCTGATACTGGCTACCCAGGAGACATGGGAGACCGAAAGTCAACCTCAGGATTTTGTACTTTTGTTGGAGGTAATCTTGTGACTTGGAAAAGTAAGAAACAAAATGTAGTATCACGATCTAGTGCAGAGGTCGAATATAGAGCAATAGCTCACACTACTTGTGAGATGGTGTGGCTAAGAAAGTTTATGACAGAGCTTGCTTTTATTCAGTCTGGACCCATGCCAATGCATTGTGACAACCAGTCTGTCATTTATATTGTACAGAAGCATGTGTTTCATGAGAGGACAAAACATATTAAAGTTGACTGTAATTTTGTAAAAAATGTTTGGGAGAAGAAGATAATATCTCTCACATTCACTTCGTCCTCACAATAACTTGCTGATATTCTTACCAATGCTACTTCTTCAAAGGTGTTTTCTACTATATGTGACAAGCTGGGCATGGTGGATATTTATGCTCCAGCTTGAGAGGGAGTGTTAGATTAAGTCTATTGGGTATTGGGTTAATGGGTTGTGACCCGTTAACCATACATTTATTTGTATGACTATATATATATATATATATCTCTAGTATCTGAATAAATCAATTAAGTTAGGGTTTTTGCTCTCTCAATTATCTCTTTCTACGGTACATATTGCGCAAGAGTATTTTTTTCATTATCTTTTTCTTGAAGCTGATACTTTTCGGTCAACTTTCTTATGAAGAACTACTACTTTTACATGAAAGTATAATATTTCTTTTTCACTTGAAAAAAATTGTTAGAATATAAAAATATGATGAACAACCTTCACCTCTATTTCAAAGTTTTAGTATTCTGATTAGAGACTTTAAGATGGTATCAGAGCCTACTTGATCCTAGAGAATTTCTCTCATCTTTCTATACTTTGAGGCCATCAAGGGAGTTTTGCATGGCCTTCATGCTCCCCTTGGCGGCTTCAACATCTTCGGCTTCCACAACAAAGTTCAACATCCTTGTTTTCTAGTTCTCAAAAAAGAATTAAAAATTGAAAGCAATACTGTTCTTCTGACATGATGAACAGTAAAGAATAACACTGTTCACGCAAGCACCCAGCAGTGCTTTTCGCGTGATGGGCAGTACAGGTACTGTTCACGCACTGATATATTTGGTGGTTATTTGAAATGCTATTGGTACTCTTTCGACGTTGTTTCTACTGACTTACCCTGACCCACCTATGATTTCTACTAGCTTACATGCCTACTACTGGTTGACCCGCCTAGAGTTTCTTCTAGCTATGATTACACTTTTTTTCTTACTAATGTCTCTAAGTATTCTAGGCAAAAATGAACTTTCTCTAGACTCTTGTAACTAGGTGATCAATTTCCACTTATAACTGAGACATCTATGGTATATATGCTCCAGCTTGAGTGGGAGTGTTGGATATTATTAGTCTGAGATATTAGTACATGTTATGAGATATTGTTGTGATATTGTGAGATGAAATTAAATATGATTTTATATGATACCTATTTTGTAATATCCTCCTAATCTCTATTTAAGAGAGATTAAGGTTAGACGTATAATATCTTTGCCTTTTCTATTTATCTACAATTTTAATACATCAACAAATCTGTCGTAAGAAACTATGCAATACGGATACACCGAAAAAAGAAAAAGCAAGCTACATACATGATACATCTATGTCCGCTAATATAGATCATATAGTTGGCAAAAGTTCCAATTGCTTTAGATACATTAGCGTCAGAGTTCTGGTACTGATCTTAAAGAGCTAGAAAACACAATCTTAAATGAGATCTACAACAGAGCCTCCATAGCAATATCATAAAAGTGATGTATTCATTGAGCATGCTTTTTAAACTCACTGTCTCTGCCTAGTGAAGGATAACTCCCCGATTCATTAAAAAATATGACAAACCATCATGTGCACCAATAACACGACATTCTTACTTCATAGGTTTGAACAAAGAAATGCTTGCTCATAATGCTTAATGAAGGAATGATAATTGTAACACCTATGGTGTCGTCAATGCTTTCACCATTTATGTCTTGAAAGACACATGACAAAATATTAAGAAATAGTCAAAGAACAGACAGAACCAGTAACGAGTTCAACAAGGAGTAAGGATCATCATGAAATAATCGAGGTGACAGTTTTAAGGATTAGGACGATGGAGGACAAGCTTGGCAAAATTGATGAGAGGATTTCAGAAAATATGGGTGGCTTGAAGAGTAAGTTGTTTAATGATGTTTCATACATAGGATCATTTTTCAAAGGGCATGGAGACAGGCAGTGGCTCTTATTTATAAGGAAGAAGGTTGTAAAAGGTAAAGGATGTTCCCCTTAGCACACAATCAAATATTAAGATATTGGTCAATAGGAACCACTACAAGGTGGATGGACTTGAGTACTGTTCTGCCCACTATTCCAAGGGATTGGCTCATAAGTCATTTCACACGAAAGAAAAGATCTTAAAGGGTTCGGATTAGCAGTGCATGTAGTTAAAAAATATCTCCGAACAGCCGTTTGGTAACACGTCTGATGTTTGTCCTAGAACACCCAAGAAAGACAACCCTTTTTGAATCTTCGTACAGCCATGTACAATGCTAGATCTTTCGAGTTTATAAACATACATCATTGTATGACTTCTTTTGATTGATAATTGAAATTTTGATAATTTCAAGAGTTGTCAATGGTAGGAAACAAGCCTTTTGTGAAGGCAAGAAGAGGATGTGAAGTGTTTGATCTGATCTTTTTACTTAATGAATCATCAATAAAATCCTAGCCATGATTTCTCCCACTCAAAGCCCTGATTCCCACAGGCCACAGCAATACTATTTTCTCCCAAAAACAAATGTCGATGCTGATAACATCACAAACGATGATGCAAATTGTAAGAATATGTTTAACAAGTGACACTGACGGTTTTAACATGATGATAGCTAAAACCAGTGTTGTAAATAGCGGCCAATAGCAGGGCTATAGCGGCGCAAATAGCGGTCGCGACCCTTCAACGCTACCCGTAGGGGTTTCGCGGCTGGCTTAAGCGGGAAAATCCGCTATTCATTCGAATAGCGCGTAAAAGCGGATTTTAGCGGGTTAAAAGCGGGTTTTCGCGGTTAAAAGCTGATTTTCGCGGTTAAAAGCGGATTTTTGTTGTTAAAAGCGGCTAAACCCGCTAAACCCGCTATCACACATATTATGATGCTATATTGCTTGAATTTCTTCATAGTTTCATTCATACAACAAGCTTATTAATTGTTATTTATAAATAATACAAGAAATTTACAGCTAATTGAATTTTTAGATTTTTTTTATGAATTTTCTTATTATTTAGGATATTTAAATATATTTAAATTTGACCGCTATTTGACTGTGCGCTATTTGCCGTGATTTCGCCGCAATAGCCCGATATAGCTTTAGCGGTACCTCACTGCGACGCGCCGCGATCCACTATCAGCAACCTTGGCTAAAACATACAATTCTATCAAAAAGGGGAAATCAGTCACATGCTGGGGAGGAAAGGTACTAAGCAACATCATGGCCAGGTACCAGTGTCAATAAGAAGAAAAGTATCCCACAGAACAAAAGGCAAACACAAGAGTAGTACTTACAACACATGCATATAGACAGATATATAGAAGAAAATGTATTCACCTTCAAAACTGAAAGGTAAGAATCAGAAAGGCCAGTATACTTCCCGACCATTGCAATTCTGACCTGTAAGTTACGCAGCATCTGGTTATGTTAAGGCCATATACTAAAGGGCATAGAAACTAAGGCCTCATCAGGTAGAAATATTTCATATGCTTGGAACATACAGGATTCTGCAATGTGTCACAGATTTCAGCCCTTGCAGTCCATTCTTCTAACATGGGCTCCACAGCCACACTGCAAATAATGAAATAGCTCGACAATTAAGAGTAATAAAGAAACTATGAATAAATTCTTCAAACTTCCGAATTCAACAAGTTAATATAGTTTGGTACAATTCATCAGACAGACCCATGGAGATTCAGTCCTCTTAAGAGAGCCTCATGCGCCTTCTGGTCCTAAGATAGTGACAAGAAGGAATTTCTGTAAGATATCTAGCACAAGGAAAGAATACACCTAAAGAAAGTATAGCGTTGTTACTCCCTTAATTCACCGCAAATAAGAAAGAACATGACAGTTACATACTCTTAATAGTAAAGGGATATGCCATATGTTTGTGACATCATACAGAGTGATGATATTTGCTGCCTGTAAGTGTATTGTTATTCAAATTCATGTCAGGGATGTCACAATCTTTGAGAAAAGTTTCACAATACATTACTGGTTTAGAGAGAATACCTGAACATGACAGAATTGTGATAGTTTTTCTTTAACATTTTCATCCAGGGGCTGCAATAACATTTAGTGAAATCAGAGAGCAAAGATAGAACACCATGATAATGAAAATGAAAGAAAAGGAGGCAGAGGATACTTTCACACTGCGACAGGCCAATATATTTGGTGTCAATCCAAGTCCTCTTAATCCTCGAACACTGTGTTGGGTAGGTTTTGTTTTCTACAAGCAAGACAATGCAAGAACAACACCTATCAAAGTCAGATACCATGTTCAAAGGATTTACCAACAAACAGCTGTTATCTAAAGAAAGCAACAAACAGTGACCCTAAACCATTTACCTGCTCACCAACAACATTAAGAACCGGCACGAGACTGACATGAACCAGACAAAAGTTTCCTGGGCCTAAAAGTTTCAGAAAGTGCTCATGAAATATCATTATCCAGTAGACTAAGAATGGAAGTTGACCTTTCAAACCTTGCATTAGGCGGATAATAGCAGAGTAACAACCAACTCACCTACGCGATGAGAGAATTGACCCAGAGCCTCAATGAAGGGCATTGACTCTATGTCCCCTGTATTATATGAATAATTGTATCAAGCAAACATTATATCCAAATGCATAAACATAAGTACTTTCAATATCAAGCATGTATCAAGAGTATTTATTACTATATTAATATATTATCACCTATAGTTCCACCAAGTTCAATAACACAAACATTAGCTGGTCCTTCTTTCCCATCAACAGGTATCATGGCCACGCGCTCGATGCACTCTTGTATGGCATCTGTAATATGTGGTACAACCTTGGAAGAGAAAGGATAATGATTCATAATATAATAGAAGAATGAGTGACCCACATAATCCTCATAACAAGAAGTTTGCTCCCTCAAATCTTAAGTTATTTGAAATAGGCCCCCAGAAACTCATTATTATAAGTCCCTGAAATCTCTTTGGTTATACCAAATAGATCCCTGCAGTTTTAAAGCTGTTAACTTAACCACCAAAAAGACTAATGACAGTTAGCTTCTTTAATTTACCATTATAATCTTCTTCCTCAACCCAGCCTAACAATAATATTCGAAGGTCTCTCCCTATGTTCATTAAAAGATCACTTTTTCTTCATCGATAATCTTATTCTTTGATGAAGAAAACGTGAGTTTTTAATGGGTGTTGGAAGAGCATTAGAATATTACTGTTAGGATTGATTGAGGAAGAAGAGCAACTAAAGAAACTAAATTGCACGTTAGTTTTTGGGGGGGCTTTAAGTTAATAGATTTAAACTACAGGGATCTGCATAACCAAAGAGATTTGGAGATTTTCCTCATAATAATGAGTTTCAGGGGACCTAATTTAAATAACTTATGCTTTGGTGGGGTGGGGGGAGGGGGGGCAATGCCTCAAAACCCCTAACATGAAAAGTAATTCTGACAATATTGTGCACACCTGAACTGTTTTGCCCAGATAATCTCCCTTTCTTTCCTTGTCAATGACAGACTATTATGAAAAGAAGATGAAGGGATATCAGAAAATATTAGAAGAGTCTTAAATAGATTGAGTCAAAGAAAATTCATTGTGAATTAATCAAGTTAATATATGCCACAAATCAGTTGGCTTAAATATTATGTCAAGTGACGTGAATATATGTAGGCGAAAGAACAATTACCCGGTATATTTTCCCTGTAGTAATGTTGTTGTCACGGGTTAATTTGAGATCTAAAAACCTTTCGTAGTTTCCAAGGTCCAAGTCCACCTTCCATATACAATAAACCAGTTGAGAGGAGTAATCTCAGTTCACCAATAAAAATGACAAGGAAAATGACCATGAGAAAACAATAAAGGACTTTGGAATATTTGTTAAAAAATTTTGACAATGAAAGAAAACAATCACAGAAAACTCAGAAGCAAGGTATTCAAGTATCAATCAAGCCATGATACTCAAAATAAATAATTAACTAATTAATTATTGTGGCAAAAGGCAATAACCAAACACTAGAAATCAAGAAAACACCTGACAGAATTTTTTTTTATTTTTTTATTTTTTTTAAGAAGGAACCAAAAGCAAAACAAATGAGTGAAATAAGAACAAGTTTGAGATTCCTTACCTCGCCACCATCATCTAAGACAAAAACTTCACCATGCTCGAAAGGAGACATAGTTCCAGCATCAGTATTAAGATATGGATCTGTAAATTTCGATTACAGTAAATAAGAACGTCTTGGTTAATGTCAAAAGTTAATTTTTTTTTTTTTAAAAACTGCATAATCATCATTCACCAAAGAATGACTCGAAGCATCCAAATGGGCTGAAAGTGATTGAAAACAAAAAATATGAATACAAATACAAGCAACTAACGACTTCCACTTGAATTCTAGTCAAGATTGGCAAGCACGATTGGGTACTGTGGGTCCCTGTAACTCAATTCACATCCCTTTTGTTCTCCTCAGCTTGAGATAAGACTATTTCTTACCCTCCTTACAAAGTTTCATACAGAAGAAACAGATAAAACATACTACAATTGTTTGACATGAGGTTAAAAGGAGAACAAATGCTCAAGAAAAATTAAAAAGAAGAAAGAAAAAAAGGGTACTTCCAAAGTATCATATCATTACAGCCTATTACTAAATCAAAACTGTACTTTGTTCCAACCAAATGACATATAAAGAAAAGTCAGTAAGTAAACCCCAACATCAAAATTCCCCCAAAACATTCCCTTGTAGCCTACAAATGACTCACAAATGAACTTCTAACCCTCTGTTCAACAAAATTTTCGCCCATTAATCCACACAAAATGAACTATAACATAACAATGAAAGAACCCTATACTTGCAAAAAGGAAAACAACCCATTAGCTAAAATGACAGTTTCTTTGGACTAAAATAAAAAAGACCCAAAATTTACAATGCCCGGATTCAAAAAGAAGAGAGCTTTCTACGTTTTCTCAAAAAAAACTGAATCAAATATTTGTACCAATCTTAATGGAGGTGACGCGGAGACCGCAGGCTTTGAGGACGACGCCGATGCTGCTGGCCGTCACACCTTTGCCCAGCCCGCTAACAACACCCCCAGTTACCAGAACGTACTTCATCTCTCTCTTATGATTTCGATGTATAGAGTTCTGTTTCTATATGTATTTGAGAGACCCAGATGAGATCAATGATAATGGAAATGAGAGAGAGGATGAGACTAGGAGCCCTGCACTCTCAGTCTCTCTCTCACTTGTAATGGCGGCAGGAGTTTGAAAGAGAAGAGAGAGAGAGAGAGAGAAAGAGAGGGTTAAAAGAGAACGGGGGAAGAATGGGACGATTAAAATACCGAGTTTGCCTCTCGAGCGAGAGAGTTTTTATTCTCACGCCGATTCACGCGAGCTTAACTTTAATAATTGTAGCATTTAGGGGGTATTTGGTAATTTGAAAGTGAATTTAAAATATGTAAGTTATTTTTTTTTGCAAATGACTTTTACATCTATGTCAGCACGCAAGTGAAATACAGTGTTTGTTTGAAAAATTAAATTATTATCGAAAGTGCAATGTGAAGATGACGTGGCAAAATAAGATTAATTAGAAAGTATAATTAAAATCATTTAATTAGATTAGTTAACTTTTTATCACTTTCATGTGACTTCACCACTTTTTTAGGGGAAGTCAAAATTGCATTAAATCATATGTGGCAACTTTCTTGTATCTCACTTTCATAACCATTTACATGAAAACAAACACATTAATTATTAAATGAAAATAACTTTTTTACTTTCATCTTTCACTTGCACGCAAACAAACACCCCCTTAGTGTTTGTAGAATTCAATGGTGAAGCTACAATAATTCAACTTTAAAATATAGTTACAATAGTATTAAAAAATATAAATAAGCCTGTTTAACATTAAATTCAGCAAACATTAACGGTTAAAATTATTTTTTGAATGTCACATGTGAAAATTCGAGAAAAAAATTTGTCACGTTTATGTAATACTAGTTTTAATGTTTGCTGAATATAAATATCAAAATTATTTATTTTTTAAATTTATTTTTTTACTATAAAATAAGTCAGATTCATTTTGAATTAAAATCTATAAACATGGATTATTATATTTGCCATAAAATTTATTTAAACATTTAAAAAAATTATGAAATAGATTTGTGTGTTAAATTGGAATCAATATACTTTTATAAACTTGTATACACAACATTATTTTTTTAAATTTGTATATATCAAACTTCATGTAACATTTATTTGTTGAATCAAATCATCGATCTCCAACTTGTTTATTTTAATCATTAAATGTAGTGTTAAGTTTGAAAAAAAATGCAATAATATATTATTGATGTGTTAATAAAAATATAACCAAATACTTAATATTAAGATGGTTTGTATAAGCTCAGCATAGAGCACAAACTTTTCACAAGAATACAATATATCTTAATTATTGATAGATTTAAAAAAATACTAAAGATTAAAGCATATTTAAAAATATGCGTGAAAATCCCTTCTAAAGAATCCTAATTTTACTAAAAAATTTAAGTTTTACTATAAAATATTCAAACAAATTATCCTTTTCTCCTTTTTTATATTTAATTTAGCCGAGATCAATTTTCTCCACCTTTATCTTTTTCCTAGACAAATTTACAGTAGTGTCTTCATCATCTACATTAATTGTGATATCAGGTTGGTATATAATAAAGACCAAAAGACAAGGCAAGAGTATAGAAAGATCACTGCTGAAAGTACTTAATATAAACATTGCTGAAAGTATTTATGAAGACCTTAGCAAAATAGAAGATGAGAAACTCAAAAGAATTTTTGACTTGAGGAAACAAGAATCGGGTAATGTAAGAACTAAGAACTTTTGTTTATAAAAAATATATATGCTTTGAGAGAATAGGTACCCAACACCCAACGTTCGACACTCTTGACCACTAAATAGAAATCTTAACCTGGATTTTCCCAAAAAGAAAGATCACTTAGAAGGAAAACCTAGTAATATTATAATATTTAACGTATATAAAATCATTTAATATATGTTGTGGTTTCTCTGTTGTTTGCCTAAACTTACAAATGTAGTATGATTATTAACTTTGCCCAAGCTACAACTTCTATCTTGAGAGAACCTAAAGTTACAAACTTTGTATATGGGGTGTAGTTTATCTCAAACACCAATAGAATCCATTAACATATTGTAACTTATAGACCATTTAAAGCTAAAATTGATACATCAACAAAAAGGCAAGGAACGCCTTAAACCTATGGGTCCAAAAAACATGCATAACCCCCAAATACAAGATACACAACAAATTTGATCTAAAGATGACATCTTTGAATCTTAAATCTAAATACAGTGTCAAGGTAAGCTATAAATCTAAATTAAAAATGAGTAAAAGAAATTAAATTAAAAAGAAAAATTTGAAGTTTCCTCAAATCTACCCACTTTCACAAACAACAAACAAAATGGAGCAAAACTCATAAGGTAATCACTTAAAACATCAACAACCCACAAATGCTAGAAATGATAGCAAAAATATTAGAAGAAAAAAAAACACCTCATTCAAGACTTTCTCTTGCAAGAGGAGCCCAAAAACACTCCAAGATCAATACTTTAGAAGCTCAAAAGATGAAGCAAGTAAGTGGGAATCTCTCCTGGGTCTCTGAGAACTCTGGAGAAAGAACAAAGGATTGTAGTGGAGAGCTAATAAAAATATAGAATCCCAAGAGTTTTCTCTATACTATTTATTTATTTATACTAACTGTGATAAGGTTGGTGCAAAAAAATAAATATGATGTCCAGTACAAACTCTAGCGGACCAAACTAAAAATAATTAGAATTTGATTATGATTAGAATAGTTATACAATTTAAAATTTAGAATTTAATTAGGATTAGGATAGTTTAAACTTTGAAGTAATTTGATTAGGATTAGAATAAATCATTAAACACAATTTAAAAATTAGAATTTGATTAGTGATAGGATAGTTCAAACTTTATAGGGTTATTTTTGTCTACGGAAAGATTTTCCAGAACTCGTACTTTTAAACGGAGTATGACTAGTTCCTGTGCATGTGCAATACACGTGGTTAAATATCAAAATTATTTATTTCTTGTTTATTTTCTTACTATAAAATAAGTCAGATTCATTTTGAGTTAAAATCTATAAACATGGTTTATTATATTTGCCATAAATTTTATTTAAACATTTTTTAAAAAATTATGAAATAGATTTGTGTGTAAACTGAGATCAATATACTTTTATATACTTGCATACACATTATTATTTTTTCAAATTTGTATATATTAAATTTTATGTAACATATTTGTTTATCGGATCAAATCATCGATCTCTAATTTGTTTATCTTAGTCATTAAATGTAGTGTTAAGTTTGAAAAAAATACAATAATATATTACTGATGTGTTAATAAAAATATAACAAAGTATTTAATATTAAGATGATTTGTAGAAGCTCAGTACAGAACACATACTTTCACAAGACTGAAAAACATCTTAGTTATTGATAGACTTAAAATAAAAAAATCAATACTAAAGATTAATGTGCTAGGTCTCATGTTTATGAGCCTACTATCTAATCTAGTTTTGATGATTAATAAATAATTCCTAACATCGATTTGTCGAGTGTTTTGTATTTGCTTGTTAGGAACTCTATACAAAGATCCTCCTGTTAGAGGTTGGATGGATTGCGCCTTAATAATTATATTCAATGGAGGTTGGCGGAATATCGGAATGAAGTCATTTGTAATTCAAAGTAAAATTTAAGATCAAACTTCATCTACAACCAAGATGAGCTTTATTGAAGATCAATCTTGGGTATAATATTTTAGGTTTATACTTTGTGTGTTGATACTTAAAGCTCAAACATTATACACACATACACATTTTTGTTTTATAGCTTTTGAATTTAAATCGTATAAATATGAAACTAATAGTTATATACATATACATATATACTAGTTTCCTATTTATTGATTTTGTTTTGGAAAATAATGTGTTTAGCTATATAAATATGAAACACATGAAAATAATTACATACACACATATTCGTTTCATGTTTATATGTGCTTAAAATGATTTCATTAATTAACAAGTTTAAAATCAATGAAATCATGTTTATTTGTAAAATTATGTGTTTATGAATTAAATACTCAATTACAACATGTTACATCTTTTCCTAAGTTCATTAATCCATTCAAAATGAATATGCAAGTTTGTTTGTCAAAATTTCAAGTGTATTGAGTTTTTATATTTTGGACTATTTTGTAAAATGGTGAGTTTTCACATTTGTGAAGTTTAATTTGAAAAATTCTTTTTGAAACATGTTTATATTCATATTTATAAACATCCCTAAAGTTTTATAATTTTTAAAATTTATTTGCTATTTTTAAAAGGGCTTTAAAATTAATTTTTACTGTTCATTATATGCAGTGTGCACCTTATCAGTTGACTGATGAACATTATTAGTCGACCGATGAAAGTGGCTGGAATGTGTGTTTAGTTTCTGCTCAGTCAACTAATGAACCATCAGTTGATTGATGCAGGTTATTAGTCGACTGATGAGTTCATCAGTTGACCGATAGCGGATGAACGGACTGTAACGGTCAGCTCACCAGTCGACTGCTAAACAATATCAATCGATTGATGACACTGTAACGACTATATTTTCAGGTTACTGAATTTTTAGGTTTTTTTTCGTTTTCTTTGGGTTTTTAGCTTTGTTTTGAGAACCTATATATACCTCTTTGGACTCAACTTCTGAACTATCCAAGAAAAGTTTTAAAACAAGTTTACAAGGGTTTAATTGTGTTTAATTGTGTTTTCTAAGTGTTTATGTGAATAGTTTTCACAAGAGGAAGAGGAGATTATTCGTTCTTGTTTGGTCTTCAATTTCTCATCTCCATCACTTTTGTTGTAGAGAAGTTTTTGCTAACTCAATTCTAGTTTTATATATTTATTTGTTGATTATTAATTTTATTAAGCTAGTTTTTATATTGATTTTGCATTTCATTATACTCATTGTTTACACACACAACTCACTTGAGCTTTTAGTATTTTCACATATTGTATATTTGAGTTGTGGGAGTTGAAACATTGAGAGTGAGGTTAATTGAGTTCTTATCTTGTTTAGAGAACAAATATTTTTATTTGTGCTTAATTTCTGAGATCACATTGTAATGCATAAGTACGCTAAGAGGAGTGTGTGATGAGAGACGGAGTTCATTCCAAGAGGAGTGACATCGGTAGTAAAGCCTAGGGAGAGATAGTAAATCCGAGCACTTGAGAAAGTCGACACGGGTCAGGC